CCCATTTCCGTTATTCTGAATGGTTCAAACTATGTTCTGTGGGCCCAAGCCATGTCTTCCTTTCAAAGCAACTATGTCCATCACCTCACTTGATCAATCTTTTTGGTACATGAGCTGCAACAATTGTTACAAATCCATAAATGCAAAATATCAAACTGTTTTCAACTGTTTCCACTGTAAAAAAAAAGAGGTCATTGCAGAACCGAGGTAACAACAAACTAACCCTACACCTTTTAATATAACTAATGTTTTATATTTAATAAAACTAACATATAACTTACTACAAACAAACAGAGTCAAATTCCAAGTTGAACTCAAAGATAATTCAGGTTCAATAATGGCAACAATATTCCAGGATCATGCAGAAAAGTTCTTTTCAATTTCATCTACTGACCTAATGAAGCATACAACACAGGTCAAATAAATTAACATGCTTCATCTTCAAATTCACTATTTTTCTTCCCAATTTTAAAAATATTCTACATATATTATGCAGGATGGAAAAGTTTCAAATGAGGCCCTTCCAAAATTAAATGTGCCAGAATATCACATTATTCAACTAAAGCCTCGCCAATATCAGTTTCGTGGACAAGTAATGCTTCAATATGTCATCACATCAGTGAACAATGATGATGCAGAACCCTCCATCATAACTCTTTCTTCAAAACCACATCGACAATCTGTCCAAATAGAACCCAAGGCAAAGAAAGAACTATTTCCATCAACTGTTGGTACAAATGTTGCTTCTGATATTTCAACTGCTGCTGTTGGTACAAATTCTGCTTCTCATATATCTGCCGCAACAAGTGTACCCTCTACAAAATCTCTCTAGAAAAACACTCTACACTATAATATTTTTGTAATAGGTTACTACAATGTGACATATTTTTGGTTTGATTTGGTATGGCTCAAGTGGTTTGGTTTGTAACATATTTTTGTTGTTGCCTGTTTGAAACTACAATGTGCTAGACACAACTCAATAGTACTTTTGGTTTGGTTTGGTTCTTACTGCTCATGAAAGTAAATTATTCAATATTACTTATAATGGGTACTAACCCACTTACTACTACAACTCTTATTCTCTTCCTGCATGAATAGTTTGAACTTCATTTTTATAGTACTATTTTGAAAATCAAAAAAATATGATGTGTGTTGATTCTTATGATGTGTGGAGATTGTTAGAATATTATATTGTATAGTGTTTGCTTTGAATATTATATTGTATAGTGTTTGTTGCTTTCGGTGTTAGAATAGCTTTAGCATAGCTTTAGCAGACTTCATTATATTGTTAATTGGGTAGTGTTTGCTTTCGGTGATAATGGTGGTATCCAATGCCCCTTTCTCTCTCTATAAAGAGAGCCTTCATCTCTTTGTAAATCACACAATATAATAAAAACACATTTCAGAGTCTCTCTCTCACTCTATAGCTTCTCTCACTCTCTCAAACTAATCTTTCTGATAATACGATGTGTGTGATGTAGACCTCAATGCATGCTAAGTCCTTGTCTTCCTCCCATATCTACAGATTTATACAAATAAGTAACATGAATGCAAGATTCCCCTCATTTGTTATCACATTTAATAGTCCATAATGTTTTTTATTTAATTCCATTTCATTTTTTCCATCTGTGGTTCATCCATTCATCCAAAATACTAAATTTATTAACAAAATTATATTATTATCTCCTTTTATTAATGGGCATTTTAATGGGCATCAGTTAGCGCGCTTTCCACGCAACCCCCTCACTAGTATGAAAAGGTTTTCGGTTGCTTTAGTTGACGTGGGTCATTTTGTCTAAGTCTAGGATTGGGGCCCGCTCTCTACCCGCTACGATGATGGGGTAGGAGTTTTTTGGTCTAAAAAATTTGGGGAATATTATTGAGCCACGGAGAGCATCTTGCTATTATTTATGTTGTATTTTCTATTAATAAATAACAAATTAGGGAAATTATAAAACAAATTTCAAGATTTAAGCCTTATAATAAAATAAAATTTTAACTTTGTTAATTTAAAATTTAATATTTTAATTTTTTTCAATCTAAACCATTCGCTTATTTTTATTAAGTAAAATTATCGAAATATATATATATATATATATATATAAATATGAGCCACAGTCATTAAACTCAATAAAATCGGCATGTAAATTGAACCAAACACTGGGTTATCAAAAAAAAATAAAAATAAAACTCAACTGAATTAGGTATTTTAGACACTTTTTATACACATACATTAAATCTAATAGCTAAAATAAATTGTTTTCGTCAATGTTACTTAACGGAAATAGATGAATGATTTAGATTGAAAATAAATAGTAAAAAAATTAAGATTTAAATTAATAAAATAAAAAATTCATAATTTATTTTGTTATAAGATTAAAATTAAATTTTTTTTTTTCCGGTAATTTTTCCTACAAAATTAGAATAGTTTGTCTCTTAGCTTAAGATAGGGTAATATATTATTTCATTAATATTTTATATTATTATATCCTTAATTAAAAACACCGTCTGAGCATTGTGAATTTGTATCAAACTCTCTAATCTCTTTTTGAGCGGGATGTGCAAGGGATGTTATTTCATTTAGGTGTCTTTGCTGATAGATATGTTCATGGCCCACATATTTTGTCTATGGGACCCATGAACATTCTCCTTAGTGTGTTGTTTGTTGCTTCTGCACATATTTCTATTAGGTTTTGGTTGAAGTTTTGATGTTCTAACAGGTTGTTTGTTGTGGTCCTTGTGGGGCCTCATACCTTTTGGGACAGGTCTGCATTGTTGCTGTCCAATTTTTATTAGTTTTTGTATAGTTTTGTTAGGGCCTGGGGTATGCTCCTTATATTTTGAGTAAATTTTTTATTTTTATTTTATGACTTATTCACCTAAAAAAAGTCTGAGCATTGTCCCATGACATTCCGAAATCACGCAAGAATTTCATTATTGCCTAAACCGGATCCAATGTTCACATGATTTGCCATAGAAAAATGAATAAATTACTACGAAAAGAAATTATTCCTCAACATCTATCTATCTATCTACCTATCTATTATATAAGTAAAATAAAATTTTTAATAATAAGATTTGTGGGAGTTCTAAACTCTCAAATTAAATTTTATCATTTTTTGATTTTTAAATAATAAAAAACATTCTATTGGTTAAACTCTCATTTAATCATAACAATAAAATTCTAATTATTCCATAATTATGATTTTTAAAAGAAAAGTATGCTTAACTATTTCAAAATTTAAATTTAAATTATTCCATAAATTTTAATTATTAAATAATTTTTTTTTATGCTCAACTATTTCAAAATTTAAATTTGTATGCCACTATATATGGAAGCAATTCACTAAAATCTAATTGTTTTTTATTTTTTAAAAAGTCTATTGGTTAATTCTAATTTAACCATAACATTTAAATTCTAATTATTCCATAAATTATGACTTCTAAAAGGAAAGTATGCTCAATTATTTCAAAATTTAAATTTGTGTGCCACTAATATAGAAGTAATTCAATAAAATCTAATTATAATCATAAAAGAAAAAACTCTAATTATTCCACAATTTATGATTTTTAAAATTTTTTTTTCCATTAAATATGATAACAATTCAATAGAATCTAAAATTTATAAAACCTTTTAATGGTCACGTTATCTATGCTACAACTAATATACAAATCTTTTTCAAAATTTATAATAATGCTCCTTTCAAAATTCAATATAGTGAGTTTTCAAAATTGCATTTAAAAAGAAATCAAAATTATTTTTATCTTTATTTATTTCCAAACCCACATGCTAAATTTCTTGATTAATTTTTATTTATTATTTAAAAAAAAATTATATTGGTTAACACTTTTTCAACAATAAAAATATAACTAATTAATGATTTATGGAATTTAAAAGGAAAGTATACTAACCCACTTCAAAAGGAAAGAACACTAAATCAATTTTTCTCATATTGATTAATTTTTTTCATAATTTATGACTCTAAAAGAAAAGAACGCTAAATCACTTTTTCTCATATTGATTAATTTTTTTCATAATTTATGACTTTAAAAGAAAAGAACGCTAAATCACTTTTTCTCATATTGATTAATTTTTTTCATAATTTATGACTTTAAAAGGAAAGAACACTAAATTAATTTTAAATTGTTTATCACAAATTATGAGAAGCAATTCACATCTCCCATAAATCTTCTCTCTTGCACTCATTGGATTCAAGCCAAATTAGAGTCGGTGTTTATCGAGTTTGTAACTGTTGGCGATTGTAATGAATTCAATTGATAAATTTTTTCACTGTAAGTTTATTATTTCATAATTTACGATTTTTAAAAATATATATATATTTTCATTTCAAGATTTAAAATTATGTGTCATTAAATATCATAAACAATTCAATAGAATCTAAAATTTGTAAAACCTTTCAAATAGTCACGTTATCTATGCTACAAGTAATATAAAAATCTTTTTCAAAATTTATAATAATGCTCCTTTCAAAATTCAATATAGTAAGCTTTCAAAATTATTTTTATTTTTATCTATTTCCAAACCCACATACTGAATTTCTTGATTAATTTTTATTTATTATTAAAAAATTTAAAAAGAAATTCTATTGGGTAACACTTTTTCAACAATAAAAATATAACTATTTAATGATTTATGAAATTTAAAAGCAAAGTATACTAACCCATTTCAAAATTCAAAAGTGTCATCTAATCATTAAAAAAAATTCTAATTTTCTCATAATTTATGACTCTTAAAAGGAAAGAACACTAAATCAATTTTAAAATTGTGTATCATAAATTATGGAAAGTAATTCACATCTCTCATAAATCTTCTCTCTTGTACTCATTGGGTTCAAATCAAATTAGAGTCGGTATATATCAAGTGTTGCAACTGTTGGTAATGGGAGCAATTGTGAAGAATTCAATTCATAAATTTTTTCACTGCAAGTTCATGCTTTTTTATAAAGATCAATTCTAATCATTAGTCTCACGCATCCTTGTTTCTATTATGCATATAACAATTGTGTTAATTTCTAAAATTTTATTGTATGCTTATTTAATCTATGAATTTTTTTATAAAATAAATCTCCAATCTCTGCGGTCGCGGTTCAATAGTTTAAAATCTATATTTATCAATTACATAAATATGGATGACAGAGACTATTGAGAAAATGTGCGTATTTATTCGCGATATAGCCAGTAACAAATTTTCATTGTAAGTTTCTTCTTCTTCTAGAGGATGCATATGGTTATAATATTTAAGAGGGTAATTTGTGAACAAATTGGGCCAAGCTAAGGAAGGGCCCTTTTTGTAAGTTGGGCCACACAATGGGCCGAGGTAAGGGTTGACATAGCTTGGTCTTAAAGCTAACGAGTTGGACCCAGGTGAAGCTAGACCGAGCTAAGCATCGCGCATAGTAGCGCCGAGCTAAGGTCGCCATTAGGTATAGTTGGATCAGTCTTAAGAAAGTAGCTCGGTTGGAGTATGCCAAACCAAGGTACAAGTAGTGAAGGGAAGATCCGAGCTAGGTAGAGCTCAGTCAAACCTGCCGTTTAAGCATGGCAATACTAGCTCGGTCGTTTGGTTATACCACCAAGCTAGAACCATCTCACTTAGTTTAAGCAGTGAGGGAGGTGTTGAAGGATAAGCATTATCTTTCAGGAGTGTGATTCCTAGGAGGACTCTACATGGAGGAATAAGAGTCCTACTAGGATTGTGCCAGGTAAAAGTTATAAAAGCTTACAACAGAACCTATGTAGAGGTAACACAACTTTGATTCTAGAATACACAGAGCTTTTGTCTATTTGTTTATTTTGCTGACTTAGGCATCGGAGAGGTATCCGGCGCACACCCGCCGGCTAGCTCACGTTTGTGTTTTCAAGGAGTAAAGCGAGAACATTATTTCTTGCTCGTACAATTGGCGCCGTCTGTGGGAAGTCCAGAAAGAACAAAACCTCTTTATCAAGTTTTTCCTCTCTAATTGGAAGTAATGGCGCACAATGAAGATTTGCCGCAATCCGCTATTGACGGACAAACCCCAGAGGGGGGTGAGAGGTGCGATGGC